TATTTATGGACACCCCTGGAACATTTTAAGTCAGCTTTGACAGTCACCTTGGTGATTTGCTGTTGATCCTGATTTTTTTCACCAAATCCCGATTTTTCTCCCTAAGATCCTGATTTTGAGGTTTCATAGAGTGGCAGGTCTGTTATATGTATTTGTAATTATGCGTTTATGTATGTATGTATGTCTGTATGTATGTCTGTATGGTTGCCAGTGTATATCAAATTGCCCTTCTGGGATCAATGAAAATGTAGTTTAGTGAGTGGTTGGCAGGTGCTCTGGTGTGGTTTGCTCCTTCTTTCCTATCAAACATCTATTGTCCTTATCTCCCCCCTCCTTCTTTTTTATTTTTGGTACTCTCTTGTAACACCTCTAATCTTCTGGCACTCATATGACCTTAAGCTGTTGTGAGGACCGTAAAACCTCTAATAAAACTAAACTAAAAGTATGTTTGCCGTTTGTAAACCAAATTGCTCTTTTAGCATCAATAAAAATTTAATTTATTCATTAATTAATTTATTTATCTATTTATTAATTTATTTATTTATTTATTTAATTCGATCTCCAGGTCTGCGTAAGCACGGGAAGGACTGGACGGCCATCGCCAACCTGGTGGGCTCGAAAACCGAGGCCCAGTGCAAGAATTTCTTCTTCAACTACAAGAAAAAGTTCAACCTGGAGGCTATTCTGGAGGAGCATAAGGACCCTGTAAGCCTCACCACGCACGTGTTTCTCTCGTGCACAAGTTAGAAGAAGCAAATGCGTGAAATAAGAAGTTTTAAAACAACTCTGAATATGGGAACAGTATATACAAATTTTGAGCTCCGCGATCTGACTTAAAGTTTGTTTCCGGCACTGATATGACCTTATTGTGTTGCAAGTGCCGGAAAACTCTTTACTAAACTAAACTAAACTAAAAGTTTGTTAGTGTGGGTGGTTGGCGGGTGCTCTGGTGTGGTTTGCTCCTTCTTTCCTATCAAACATCTATCGTCCTTATCTCCCCCCTCCTTCTTTTTTATGTTTGTTGCTCTCTTGTAACACCTCTAATCTTCTGGCGCTCATATGACCTTATGCAGTTGCGAGCGCCGTAAAATCTCTACTAAAACTAACTAAAAGTTTATTAGTGTTAGGCAAAAGAAGGCAGGTGGTTGGAGGGCATCCCTGGTAGGTCGTGCTTCTTTACTTTCCCTCTGTACATCCACTGTCATTGTAAATGACCAAGACGAATGTTTTCCCCGTGAGATGAATAAAGACTGTCATTGTCCTTGTCAAATGTCAAATTCCTTGTCTGATGTCATTGTCAAATGCAATGCCGTTGAGCTTGTTGAAGACATCTGTGGCGTCGGTGGCCTAGTGGTTAGGCTCTCGGACTCGCTACCGTAAGGTCGTGGGTTCGAATCCCGCCAGGGGCCCGGCATTGTGTCCTTGGGAACAGCACTTTACACGAACTTTTCTCACTTCACCCTGGTGGGAATGGGTACCCAGCTATAGACAGTGAAAGATCTTGTCCGTCTGTTAGTGTTTGAGCATTTAATCAGCTGCTTGCACTGTATGCTTCCCGGGAAGCTGAGAATGTTTCGGAGTGTTCTATGGTCTGCTGGGGTAATAATATAGTGTAAAGCACATAGAGCTTGCTGTTGAGCGGGGATATGCGCTATACAAATGCTATTTATTATTATTATTATTATTATTATTATTATTATTATACGTTTGTCTGCGTCCGTCAGACGGGCGACCGGCGCACGACCTCGACCTGCGAGAGCATCACGTCCACGGTGACGGCCAACTCGGAGGAGGAAGTGTCGCTGAGCGACGACGAGAACGACGAGGACAACGGAGAGGACAGCGACACGGCCAGCGCCCCCAGCCCCAACCCTCTGAGGATCGAGGAAGGTATGTGGCTGGCGTTTGTGTTGCTCGAGACTCATTTGTTTTACTCTTTAACCATGTCTGGACAGTGGCAGCGTCCAGTAGTCGAGGTCCGTAACCATGGCTGGATGGTACCACCGTCCGATGCGAAGTTATTATTGTATTTTGGTACGGGCCGAGTATAAAAAAGTATGAGCTACCAAGCCTTTAGTTTGACCCGGAAGTCAAAAGGTAAATGAATTCCACGCAATACAAACGGTTAAAAACATATGTGGTTGGCGGGTGCTCTGGTGTGGTTTGCTTCTTTCCTTTCAAACATCTATCGTCTTTTTCTACCCTTATTCTGTTTTATGTATGTTTGTTACTCTCTTGTAACGCCTCTAATCTTTGGCACTTGTATGACCTTATTGTGTTGCAAAGGGCCGTAAAACACTTAGTAAAACTAAAACTAAAAATGTCCTTTGCTCCAGCTGCTTTCACAAGTTGTTTTTGTTTGTTTGTTTTTTGGGGTTTTTTGTTGTTTTTTTCGGGGGGTGTTTGTTTTTTTTGTTGGTATAAAAAAAAAGTCCTGTGTGTGCAGGCGAGGGAGAGACCGTGGCAGAACAGCGCACCACGACCCCACGGGAGGGGGCGGAGGCGGAGGGCCCCACCTCGGCCGCACCAATCAGCACCCTGTCGGAGAACAACAAGCAGCTGAGCGCTTCGCAGGGCAGCCTCCGCAGCATCGACAACGACAGCAGCGCCACCATGAGCGCCGACGAAGGTCAGGGTCAACCAACGCCCTAACTGTTTTGTTTGTTTTGTTTCCTCATTTTTTGTAGTTCTCTGTCCCTTGTTTTGACTCTCCGGAGAAAGGTGGGTGGTTGGTGGGTGCTCTAGTGGTGTGGTTAGTTCCTTCTTTCCTATCAAACATCTGTCGTCCTCATCTCCCCTCCTTCTATTTGGTGTCTGTTTCTGTCTTGTAACATCTATAATCTTCAGCACTTATGTGACCTTATTGTGTTGCAAGTGCTGTAAAACACTTATTAAAACTAAAACTAACTCAGTCCACAGAAAGTTTTCTTTACGCCAGGGCATAGTTTAAGGAGACAGCTTTTTGTTGTGGTTGGTTGGCGGGTGCTCTGGTGTGGTTTGCTTCTTCTTTCCTATCAAACAGCTATTGTCTTTATCTCTTCTCATTCTTTTTTATGTTTGTTACTCCCTTGTAACACCCTCTAATCTTCTGGCGCTCATATGACCTTATTGTGTTGCATGTGCCATAAAACACTTACTAAAACTAAAACTATCTCAGTCCAGAGAAAGTTTTCTTTACCCCTGGGCAGTGTTGAATTGTCTCCTTGTTTTCTGTCCCCTGTTTCCTCATGTTCTCTATTCCTCTGTCCCGTGTTTCCTCATGTTCTCTATTTCTCTGTCCCCTGTTTCACCATGTTCTCTATTTCTCCGTCCCCTGTTTCCTCATGTTCTCTATTTCTCTGTCCCGTGTTTCCTCATGTTCTCTATTTCTCTGTCCCGTTTCCTCATGTTCTCTATTTCTCTGTCCCCTGTTTCCTCATGTCCTCTATTTCTCTGTCCCGTGTTTCGACTCTCTAGAGCAAGGTCCTTTGTAGACATGTTCCCAAAGATCCTAGCTCCTGAGTGTATTCCCCACAGCAGGCACACGACCTTCACACCAAGCCCCCTAATCACCAGTGTACCTCTTTTTTCTCCGCAAAAAAGGGCCCCCTGGAGGTTCCGGCAGCCACGCGGCGCACCCCAGCGGCTCGGATCGGGGTCAAGGTCACCCGGGGGTGGGTCCGCCGGGCCCCCCGACCGCCTACAGCCAGGCCCCCCTGGAGGTGTCTCAGCGGCGAACCCCGCCCTCGTTGGGACCGGCCGTGGCTTCGTCTCGCGGGGGCACGCCGCACGGCTCTGTGCCCTCACCTGTGAGTAGTTTTTCTTTTTTTTTTTTTTTTTTTTTTTTTTTTTTTTTTTTTTTGTCTTTTCAGTCAAGATGGCACTTGTTTTCCTAACTTGCCATTGCTATATGTTGGTGTTTTTTTGTGGGTGGTTGGGGGGGAGGTGCTCTGGTGTGGTTTGCTCCTTCTTTCATATCAAACATCTATCATTCTATTTATCTCTCCTCCTTTTTTTGTGTTTGTTACTTTTTTGTAACTGTTCTAATGTTTGGCACTTACATGACCTTATTGTGTTGCAAGTGCCGTAAGACACTTACTAAATCTAAAACTTTCTTTTCTTTTCATTTGTCATTTCTGTCAATGTGGCACACGTTCCCCCCCCCCCCCAGGTTAGTCCTAATGACTGAAGTCGTCTTTAGGCCTTTCCTAAAGGGGGGGGGGGGGGGGGGGATATTAACATGTTCTTATGCACAGTAGAATTTTAATTGGGTTGATTTATCAATGTCTTGCTGTTGACATCCACCCCTTGACGCTCATATGACTTCTAAAAGTAAAAACATCTATTGTCCTGATCTCTCCTCCTTCTTTTTTGTGTTGGATTCTCTTGCAACACCTCTAGTTTTCTGGGGCTCATATGACCTTATGCAATTGCGAGCGCTGTAAAACCTCTACTAAAAGTAAAACTTAACTTTTCTGCGTCCCTCCAGTTCCCCGTTCCCAGCCAAGGTCACGGCCCCGTGACGCAGTCTGGCATGCCGCCGGTCGTGCGAGCGAGCCCCGTCACGGGCATGGGCAGACCTCCGTCAGGGGAAGTGCCCGTCATCAGAGAGGTAAGCAGCGACCAACAGCTCAGGCTGTTTGTCTAGACGAAATGGTCGCTTTTAAGGACAAGAGGGCTAACCCAGGTTTCAGGGGTTTCCAGAAATCTTGACCTACACCAAAAGCGGGCTTTGCCCTACCTATAGGAGAAGTTTGGTTTCATTAATGTTGGCATTTGTTTAGTTATAGAGATAACTCTTGTCTTTTGAAGAGACTGAATAAAGATCCAAAAATTTATCTTTGATTTTCTCCAAACAGCATTTATCGGGATAGCCCCCTTTTGCTTAAAAGCGACTAAATAAGCCTCTTGGTGCTGGGGCAATTGAAGATAGTTTGTGAAATATGTTCTTCTGCTATGTACTGTTTATAATTTGGTCGTTTTTAAGGACAAGCGGGCTATCCCGAAAAATGCTGTTTTGAGAAAATCGAAGTGAAAGTTTTTGGATTCTTATTCAGTCTCTTTAAAAGATGAGGAGAGTTTTCTCTACAACCAAATGAAATAATACACCCACCAATGAAACCAAACTTCTCCTATAGGTAGGGCAATGCCCACTTTTGGTGTAGGTCAAGTTTTCCGGCAACCCCCGGAATCTGGGTTAGCCCGCTTGTCCTTAAAAGCGACCAATTGTTACTTGTATGTGTAAAACACTAGTAGCTCGTGCTTTTTAATGGAGGTTGAGCGCTACGTAAATGTCATATTTTGTTGCCTTCTAGGACAAGGGCGAAAAATCTCGGAGGGCCCGTGTGCAAGTTGCGCACGTTAAAGATCCCTTGGTGGTCTAAAATCGATAAGAGTAGGCTTCGGCTGCCCCCCGGGCAAAATTCAAAATTTCCTACCAACTGAAAATATTAGATGTGTCCCGCTCGCTCATATGACCTTATGCAGTTGCGAGCGCCGTAAAACACTTTACAAAAACAAAAAACATTTTTTGTTGCTGTTGTTGTTCAGGACAAGATTGACCATAGTAAGCTGGTGGTTGGAAAACACCACTGGTACGTCCTACTTCTTTACTTTCCCTCTGTTGTTTCTGTCTATAAGTAGGTGGTTGGAGGGTGCCACTGATTGGTCCTACTTCTTGACTGTTGTTTCTGTGTGTCTGTCAGACTTCTTTCCGTCCCTAAATGGCCATTATTGTGTCGATGTGCTTCTCTTGTGGGTGGTTGGCGGGTGCTCTGGTGTGGTTTGCTTCTGCTTTCCTATCAAACATCTATCGTCCTTATATCCCCTTCCTCTTTTTTATGTTTGTTACTCTCTTGTAACACCTCTAATCTTCGGCACTTATATGACCTTATTATGTTGCAAGTGCCGTAAAACTCTTTCTAAAACTAAAACCTCTGCTAACCTCCCTTTCTCTATTCCTCCCCAGCTCCCCCAGCCGACGGGCGCCACAGACTACCAGCGACTGATGACGTATGGCTCCCACCTGGTGCCCGAGCCCCATGACACCCGCATGTCCCCCCGGCCCACCTCGGCCCACTCGGAGGGGGGAGGGGGTGGTGGCGGGGGCACCGCGAGTGGAGCGGTCTCGGGACGGATGACCAGCTCGCCGCACGCCGCGGGGAAGAGCCAGGCGCGCCCGCCCTGTGTACGGGACCTCATCCACTCGGCCATAGAGCGCAACCTGTGCGAGCCGCCTCAAGCGCAGCAGGATAAGCGTAAGTCTTTACAACTCTTTTTTTTTTTTCCCCTTGATAAGTGTTTTACAGCGCTCGGAACTGCTTAAAGTCGTATGAGTGGGTATTTGGCGGGTGCTCTGGAGTGGTTTGCTTCTTGTCTCCTATCAAACATTCTATCGTCCTTATCTCCCCCTCGTTCTTTTTTATGTTTGTTACTCTCTTGTAACACCTCTAAAGTTCTGGCATTCATATGACCTTATGATCAAGATTTACGAAGCATGTGTCCTCAGCACACTCCTTTATGGATCTGAAACATGGACCTTGTACAGCAGACAAGAAAAGCGCCTCGACATTTTCCATCTCAGATGCTGCTGCAAGATCTTAGGCATTTTGTGGCGTGACAAGGTTACAAATGTTGAAGTGTTGGCACAGGCAAACCTCCAGAGCATGACAACTATCCTGTGTTTTGAAAGATAGAGATGGCTGGGCCATGTCAAGAGAATGGACGACAACCGGATCCCGAAGCAACTTCTCTATGGAGAACTTGCCCAGGGAAAGAGACAAAGAGGAAGACCAAAGTTCAGGTACAAAAACACCTGCAAAAACAGCTTATCTAAGCTTGGAGTAGATTTTAACATCTGGGAAGAAATAGCTGAGGACCGGAAAACATGGAGGAAAATTATAAAGGAAAGAACTAAAATGCTAGAGAACAGCCTTAGAAACAACCAGGCTGAGAAGCGCCAACGACGAAAGGAAAACAGCGGAAATACAGAGCTTCAATCTACGACACTAACATGCAAGCACTGCGACAGAATTTGCGCTTCAAACATAGGAAGAATTAGCCATGAAAGAAGCTGCATGAAGACGACCTTGAGACCATCTTAAGCTAAATTGACCGTCTGCATAGATGAAAAGAGCCATACATACGACCTTATGCAGTTGTGAGTGCCATAAAACCTCTACTAAAACTAAAAATATCTCCCCTCCTTCTTTTTTTGTGTTTGTTACTCTCTTATAACACCTCTAATCTTCTGGCACTCATATGACCTTATGCAGTTCCGAGCGTCGTAAAACCTGTACTAAAACAACTCTGTGTAAGTAAGTGTTCTTTGTTTGCGTGTAAGTTTTCTCCATGTGTAAGTGTTCTTGTGTAAATGTTCTGTGTCTGTGTGTAAGTCGACACTCCCCAGATCACTAACAACTGTTTTGTCCCCTCTCTACTATTGTACAGGTGCAATGATGGACCCCAACCGTGCTCGTGGCTACACACCTCAGGACCTGCGCAAAGAGCGCCGCGACCCCCCACACGTCTCTGACCCCCGCAGCGTACTCGGGTACCCGGGCCTCCCCCGCCCTCCGCCCGACCGCGATATGGAGGTACAGGACCTCTCGTGGCGCGGCGAGCCCTTGGACAAAGGCCCGCACGGCTACAAAGGCAACCCCCGCGACTTTGACGCCCTGAGGACGCGGCCAGACGCCTACCAGCGCTCGACAGCCGAGCCCACCAGGCACATGGGCGCCCCACCCCCGGCTCACTCGCACCACCACGCTGGCGTGTCGGGTCACCCCGCCGCCCAGGATCTGGCTAAGCATCGGCCCGACAGCAGGAACAAGTCGCCTTCCATGTACCAGGTACGGCAGTGTTGGGTTTAACAGCCTTTCTCTTAGGAATCCTACTGATTTTTACTGCTTCACCTAGGAAGTTGTTTAAAATTTAAATTCAAATGTAAAATCTATTTACCCTCGATTTTTAGCTTTTAAAAAATTTTAATAGAAATATTGACCAGTATCAGGCTGAGAAATGAACTGTTGAGAAAAAAACCAACCTGTTTTACGCGCCTATATGACCTTATGCAGTTGGGAGCACCGTAAAACCCCATACTAAACTAAAACTAAGACTAAAGGTGAGGGCAGATGATTTCAATATCATCATGAAAATAGGAAAACTCCTGCAGCAGTATGCATTAGATCAGGGGGCCAAAATAGAGAGTTGTCTTCTGGATTGGGCCCCCGCCACAATCAGAAAACTATCAAAGCTAAAAAATATCGGGGATTATTGAATGCAGTATGTGCTGGAGACTAGAGCTGGGGGAAGAATCGAAACCGGAACCGGTTCCCACGATTAATTCTACGGAAGAAAAGTGTCGACTCCTTTTTACGTAAACCAACGGTCACCAGTTACCTTAATTATTTAAAATTTTTTTTTTTTTTT